GTTGCAACATGCTTGTCTGTTGGAAGTCAACGTACTCGATGTTGCAAAAAGCTATGTCAACCGCAAGATAAATTACAGATTTCGTCAACCAGAAGAACTATCTAGACGAAGTCGTCAATGATTCCGATTGGACGGTTTGCAGTATTTTTTATTCATTTTTTAAAGTTTTTTTATGATTACACTAATACATTAAGTGGTATTTATTATCAAACTACTAATTTAGCGTTAGATATTTTACTTCAAATTTGTAAAACTTTTGCTAGACATAGATATAATGCAGAGTTAAGCGAAATTGTTTCAGAAATGGAAGCAAAATACCAAAAATATTGGTTAGATATCCCATTCTTATATGGGTTAGGTCTTATTGTAGATCCTAGGTTTAGATTAAACGTATTTACTTGTATATTTAATGAGATAGGCCAACATTTAGAACATGACTATAATTCTTATTTGATAAAATTTAATAGAAAATTGGAAAAAAAATTCTTTATATCAAAATAAGTACAATGGAACGCCCATCAGGGACGAGCAGCAGGAAGCTGATGAAGACATTCATCAACAGGGATAGAACATCTGGACGTATATGGAACTTAGTACCGATGGTGGTGGATGTAGTAACTCCAGCGCGTACAGACATGGACCAAGTGAGCTACAATGGTATCTGCATGGACATGTCCTACGTGACCAAGAAGGAGAAACGCGAGACAGATGTGCTTCAATGGGTGGAACCAAAACGCAAGTCGATTCCCCATTGTAGCCCAAATGACACGTGACATTTTATGTGTGCCACTTTTCACGATTGCATCCAAGTCGCCATTCTCAATTAGTGGCCACATTTTGAAGACAAGATTCTCTTTAAATAATGAGATGGTTGAATTCATTACATGTTTACGGGATTAGACTTATGGAGACAGAAGACTACAGTACCATCCTAAAGATCCCAAACTACTCGACCTCTTCAAAAACACAGATTTGAGTTATGTAAATTTCAACGATGTAAATTAATACTTTAATAAAAAAATTATTAAATTGTTTATTTGTTTAAGTTTAAATTAAATTTGCACATTGTGAACATTATATTTATGCTAAAATTAAATTATCTCTTTAAATTAAAACCAGATAAATTTATAATCAATAAACCATCCATTTATACTTATTTAATTGTTTAAGTTCAAATTAAATTTTCACATTGCGAAGCTAAAATTAAATTATCTCTTTAAATTAAAACCATATAAATTTATAACCATCCATTTATATTATTTAATTGTTTAAGTTCAAATTAAATTTTCACATTGCGAAGCTAAAATTAAATTATCTCTTTAAATTAAAACCATTAAAACCATTCATTTATATTTTATTTACTAATTAATTAAAAAATTTACAAATCACCCCCTGAAAAATTACATAAACTCTCTTACATAATTTTCTATTTAAAAGATATAAAAAATTGGGAGGGCTAAATGAAATTTTTCAAACCCAGCCCAGGCCTGGGATCGCCTGGCCGGGCCTTTCCCACCTAGTAGGCTATGACTACTTAGGGGATGTTTGTCTGAGCTTATAAAAATTAGCTTGTGCTAATTTTAACTTATAAGAATTTGAAATTTTAAGCAATTACGTGTTTGGTTAAAGTATTTATAAGTGACTGATAAGTAGTTGACATGTTTAGTAAAATATGGCTTATAAGTACATTTTATTATAGAATGACTAAAAATGGTACTACATTAAACAAGGGTATACTACAGAATTTTAAAATTAAACAAAGATAATGTGGTAATATACTTAATCAAACTAGTTTATAAGCATTCAGATAATATAGTAATATACTTGATTAAACTACTCTGCTTATAAGCAAAATAATAATAATAGTAAGTTGGGTCTTTTTTTTTTTTTTTTTTTTTGCTTATAAGCTCAACTTATAAGCTCAAAAAAGTTATAAACAAATAAATCAATTTAATTTTAGAGTTTATAAGCTAGTTTGACCGGCTTATAAACTTAGACAAACACCCCCATACTCTCCCCTCCTTACATATTTGAAGATGACATACTATGTCGCTAATTATTGATTGAATGGTATGAAATTTATTAACAACACTATTAAGATATGGATTTGAAATGTTATTGGCTCTCGAGATCATCGTAACTAATATTTTATTAAATGCAAAAAAAGTAGATATTATAGTGAAGAAAATTAAATGCACCTCCTTAAGAAATCAAACACAGTTTGATTTTAACTCAGAAAAGAAAAATATAATTTTATTAATATGACTTAATGATAGACGTCATTATCAAAGAGTAGCTACCTCAAAAGAAAGACCCACTACACTTGCATAATTTAGTTGCATCACCAGCACCTTGAGCCAACATTAAATTTTAGAACTTTTGTAAATATAAATTTTTTCGAGATTTGATTTGTAAATATATTTAAGTATGATTAGTTCTATTTATGGATACATAAATTCAAATATAGGTCTATATAAATTACTTTTAAGGATGTTAGTTTTTGGTCATGTGATAATACATATTTACAACTTGTTTTGATTCTTCAACTTTTTCAAGTAAACGACATATTTCAAGTAGACGACATATTCCCAACCGAGGTTTAGATTCTCATCATTAAATTAATACCATTAATAATTGTTGGAGATGGTTGGAAACAGTTAGTGAGGTCAACCAGTGAACGTATGAGTTTTATAGAGGAGGTTGTGGGGAGTCCAATTATAGTCTCAGAAGTAATTTTGGACTTCGGAATCAGTTGGAAAGAACCAAAAAATGTCAACTGGCATGCTGCTAACGTGAGCCTTTTTTTGCTAACATGAACCCATCTTCGCCAAAGAAAGCACTGGCGCAGTTTAGCATACTAATGTGCGCGCGCTATAGTGAAAATTTGAAAATATGTTAAAATAAAAAAAGGGTGGGAATCTAAAATAAATGCAACCAGAGGTATCAACGCTAAACCTCGGATAGGAATATGTCATTTGCTCACATTTTTCATATAAGAACTTTAATTTTTTTTTCTTAAATGGATATACTTTAATTTTTTTCTTAAATGGATATAACTATATTTCACCTTTCTTTGTTCATGTAAATAATAAACCAAGTTTTTATTAATGATTTAATGTAAAAAAAAATCATTTAATTGTTTATTTGTTTAAAGTTTAAATTAAATTTACACATTGTGAATATTATATTTATACTAAAATTAAATTATCTCTTTAAATTAAAACATATAAATTTATAACCAATAAACAATCCATTTATACTTATTTAATTGTTTAAGTTCAAATTAAATTTTCACATTGCAAAGCTAAATTTAAATTATTTCTTTAAATTAAAACCATTCATTTATATTTTGTTTACTAATTAATTAAAAAAATTTACAAATCACCCGATTCACCCCTGAAAAATTACATAAACTTCTTTACATATTTTTCTATTTAAAAGATATAAAAAAAATTGAGAGCATTAAATAGAATTTTTCAAACCTGTAGGACCGGTCCTGGTACCAAATTGGGCCCAGGCCCGGGACCACCTGGCCGTGCCTTTCCCACCTATTAGGCTATTACTACTTACTCTCCCCTCGTTACATATTTGAAGATGACAATACTATGTCGTTAATTAATGATTGAATGATATGAAATTTATTAACAACACTATTAAGATATGGATTTGAAATGTTATTGGCTCTCGAGATCATCGTAACTAATATTTTATTAAATGCAAAAAAAAGTAGATATTATAGTGAAGAAAATTAAATGCACCTCCTTTTAAGAAATCAAACACAGTTTGATTTTAACTCAGAAAAGAAAAATATAATTTTATTAATATGACTTAATGATAGACGTCATTATCAAAGAGTAGCTACCTCAAAAGAAGGACCCACTACAATTGCATAATTTAGTTGCATCACCGTCACCTTGAGCCAACATTAAATTTTAGAGCTTTTGTAAATATAAAATTTTTCGAGATTTGATTTGTAAATATATTTAAGTATGATTAGTTTTATTTATGGATACATAAATTCAAGTATAGATCTATGTATATTACTTTTAAGGATGTCAGTTTTTGGTCATGTGATAATATATATTTACAACTTGTTTCTGATTCTTCAACTTTTTCAAGTAAAAGACATATTTTCACCCTAGGTTTAGCAAAATCCTAAGTTGATGTCCCTGATTGTATTTATTTTAAATTTTTATTCTTAAATTAATACCGTTAGTAATTGTTGGGTTTTGTAGAGAGGTTCTTGAGAGTCTAATGGTAATTTCAAAAGTGATTTTGGACTCCAGAATCAGTAAAAAAAAAACCAAAAAATACTGGCTTGGACACTACTAACGTGAGCCTTGTTTTGCTAATATGAACCCATCTTGGCCAAAGAAATCGTTAACATGTGTCGCGTTATAGTGAAAAGTTATAAATATGTTAAAACAGAGAAAACGACGTTACTTTAAGGGTGAGAATTTAAAATAAATGTAACCAAATGTATCAATTTTAGATTTCGCTAAACCTCGGTTAGGAATATGTCGTTGGCTCACCTTTTTCATGTAAGAACTTTAATTATTTTCTTAAATGTATATACTTTAATTATTTTCTTAAATGGATATATCTATATTTCACCTTTCTTTGTTCATGTAAACATAAACCAAGTCTTGGTTGAAGCACTCCTCAATATTTACCGCAAATTAATCAACAACCTTGTGCTTTTGCCTGCAAGAATTGGGTCCGAGGATTTCAATGTAGAAATTGAAATATTCATTAGTCCTTCCAGTGTAAGTCCATCTATATATCAGTATTTTAAGGCCATTTATTAACTTAAAATTGATTGCTGAAGCTGGTATAATTAGCTAGTATAAGTTATTTCCTCCACAACTACTTATGTTAGCTTGTTTTTGATACGTAGGGCTCGGATATTTAATTCATTATACGAATGTAGAAGAATCAGAAACTGTATATAATTTAATTTCCATTCTTTATTTCATTTCACATCCCAAAAGTCTATTTCAATACAAATTATCTATTCCTATAGTTCTCTGAAATCATGTCAATGAATATATCAAATTTCATTCCTTGGATGATTTTTGGTCTTGCATTGACATTGGGAACTATTGCTCCTCTAGCTGAGGCTCGAGCTTTCTTTGTATTTGGTGATTCACTAGTTGATAGTGGCAACAACAATTACCTAGCAACAACCGCCCGTGCTGATGCACCACCTTATGGAATTGATTATCCTACTCGTCGACCTACCGGCCGTTTCTCTAATGGCCTCAATATCCCTGACATTATCAGTAGGTTTCTAATATATGGCATTATTATGTTTTAGTTGATTTATATTTTGATGGTCAATGGCAATGCCATGTTCCTATTGAATCTATCTGTTTAATTAATACTCAATTTTAGGTCAGCAAATTGGTCAATCAGAATCCCCATTGCCATACTTGAGCCCGGAGCTCACCGGAAGAAGGCTCCTTGTTGGTGCCAATTTTGCTTCAGCAGGAATAGGAATTCTTAATGACACCGGAATCCAATTTGTAAGTCAACTGTACATAAATGCCACTCTAATTTCTGACTCTACCTGAAATTCTAACTAATATTATAACTCATGTTTTAAAGGTATGATTTAATTTAATCAATAATGCTACCACATTTGCAGGTAAACATAATTAGAATGTTCAGACAATTGGATTACTTCGAGCAATACCAGCATCGAGTGAGTGCTATTATTGGAGCTCAAGAAACTCGTAGACTTGTGAACAGATCTCTTGTACTTATCACAGTTGGTGGCAACGATTTTGTGAATAACTACTACTTGGTTCCCTTCTCTGCACGATCTCGCCAGTTCTCTTTACCAGATTATGTCAAGTATCTCATCTCAGAGTACAAAAAATTACTACTGGTAATTTCCAGTTCACAATTTTTGCTACAATTTACACGGAATATACTGGTGGTTTATGCAGTCTTTTGCATCTTATTCCGTTATTTCAGAGGCTATACAATTTGGGATCCCGTAGAATTCTCGTAACCGGTACCGGACCACTGGGTTGTGTTCCGGCAGAACTGGCCCAGCGAGGAACCAATGGCGTATGCTCCGCCGAGCTGCAAAGAGCTGCAGCCTTGTACAATCCACAACTCGTTCAAATGCTGAAAGAACTAAACGGAAAGATCGGAAAAACCGTGTTTATTGGAGCAAATACTCAACAAATGCACATGGATTTCGTCGGTAACCCTCAAGAGTATGGTATGATGATAGTCGATGTGACTTAATTAAGTACAAGAATGTATACTTCTACTGCAATAATATCGTTGATAAACAGAACGTACGTGGTCAGTAACATGCATTTGTTAATGAAACGTGTGGCAGGATTTACAACGTCAAAGATTGCTTGCTGTGGACAAGGACCATACAACGGGCTTGGTCTATGCACAGGATTGTCAAATTTATGCCCCAATCGAGATCTCTATGCATTTTGGGATCCATTCCATCCATCTGAAAAGGCAAACAGAATAATAGTTCAAAATATTATGAGTGGCTCCACCAGCTACATGACTCCCATGAATCTCAGCACCGCCATGGCCTTGGATTAATTAATATATGTCGAGATCATGGTTGTCAAATCGCGTATCGTATCATGTATCAGAAATCTAATTTTTCGAATGGTGTATCGCGTATCGTAGGATACGTCTTTTTCAAAAAAATTTAATAAAATAATCAAAATTTTCTAAAAATTAATATTATTCCCAAGATTAATAAAAGAATTTTGTGGTATTATTAGCTTTAAATTATGGTATTACATAATCAAAATTAATCATAAAATTGAGAATCCATATCATTTTCTCTCAACTTTTTATATCATTTCCAAGATCATTGTCAATATTTATATCTCCACTTGTATTATTATTATCACGCAAAATTGGTAGCACATGTTTCTCTTCACTTTCTCCATGCAAAATGGGTAAATTTGGGCAAGTTTTAGTGAACCGGGTTAGGTGACCCGGTTCCAATCTGAAATTTTTTTTTTGGGCTTTGGCCTAAGTTAATAAAATCGTCTCGATTTGTATCGATATTTTTAAGGATATGAACGGATATGTATCATATCATAAGATACATATCAATGTATCAAAAAGTTTAAGATACACTCTATGATACGTATCGTTAGCGACCTGTATCGAATCATATCATATGATACGTATCGGGTATCGTAGGATACTAATAATCATGGTCCAGATCGTCTTGACAATATTTTTATAATGATTTGTTTTGATCATGCGTCTATTTATGATTCTTATGATGTTATTGTATTGAATCAAGTTTAACTGGAATTTGAATTAAGTTATTGTTATATGTGATGATGATGAGTAAGCTATGTTAATTATAGAGATTAATTTACATGGATAACTAAGATAAAATTTATATCTTTCTTCAAAAAGAATATTTTTTTGGGTGATTGGGGTGTCCGGACTAGTTTGCATGCACCTTAACTAGTCTACAGGGCCCATTGAACACCCTAAAAGCTCAATGGGTCAGGTAAGTCATAAATGTGGTTAGAGCTGGCAGTAGACCGTGTCGTGCCGTGCCTAAAAATTCAAGGCCCGTCGTGCCATGGGCAGTGTCTTGCTAAGACCCACAGAAATTCGTGTCTTATCGTGCCGTGTCAGCTCACCAAATCTGAAGGCCCACGGCACAACCCACTATATAGCATGTCATGCCATGGGCCTAGCACGTAGGCTGGCCTACAAATTTTTTTTTAATATTTATAAATTATGGTAATTTTGATTTATTATTAATAATTATTATAAAAATATTTTATATGTTATATTTAATGACATTTTGTACTTATATTAATTAAAAATATATAATGACTATGAAATATAATAAAATAATGAGACATTAAAATATTAATTGAATTTCACCACTTTTTATAACTTATAAGTTATAATTATAAATTACACATACAAACTTAAAAATTAGGATTAAGAATTGACATTAACAATTACATCTCTATTAGAAATACAAGTATAAAAATACAATACAACTATCTCAACTTTGATTCTAGTTTACAAATATTTATATAAAGTTAAATAAGCTTAATTAATTTAGTTGCAAGGAGTAGTTCAACAAATCATTCCCTTCAAAATATTTTAAAGTTAATTAAACTTGAACTTATACTTGTATCATTGATGAGTAATATATATATTTTTCATCCACCAAATGTTACTTATTAATCCCCCTATTTGTAAAATTTGTTTTTCTTCCCTCTAAAATTAATTAAATTGTATTTTAACCCCTAGAATAAGAAAATTGGGACTTTAACCTTGTTACAAAAAATAATTCGGTTAAATGTGTGCCTTAGAAGGTAAGCTTTTCATGTCACCCTTACAAAAAATAATTCTTGAGTTTCAAAGTGACTACATTTGATAACTCCTTAATACATATGTAGTCCGAATCTATACACTAGATTTTTAGTAAGTGTAAATATCTTGTAATTTTAAAGATGCATTCAGTGAGATGATAATTGTAATACCATTTTTGAAACTTATGAGAAAATGCGAGCTTTTCGGGATTTTTACAGTGTCTAAATCTAATTCTCAAATACTTATAATCCAAGTTACTAGATTACATCTAAATGCATGTTTCAACAATTTGTTACATATAACTTTATTATATATGCAAAATAAAGAAGCCACACATTTTCTTGCTTATATAAACCCTCACTACTTGTATGTAGGCATTCTATTCCAAAGCAAACTTTGAGTTCCTCATTCTATAGTAAGTAGCAATGAGGAATTTCAAATTATTTCTTTTGCTAGTTAATTAATTTTTTTTTTTGATTTCTTGTTTGCATCATTATAATTTCATATTTCTCTATGATTATCGATGTCTATTAATATATATTCTATATAGAAATGAGATACACAACATTTGTTATTGTAACCAAAGAATACCTAGTACTAAAAATTCTTAACACTATATTGTTTTGCTTCAATTTTCTTATTGTTTATACATTTACATGGTAAACTTTATATAGATATGAAAGAAATAAAAAAAATTCCCCTTTTTTTAATAGGAAATTCAACTATAACAATGATGTCCGGAGGTTCTTCTAGCTTAGGTGAAAATGTTAACCAAATTTCTGCCCTTGTTGTTGATGATGACCCTGTCATCCGCAAACTTCACTCTGCAATGTTGAAGTCGTTCGGAGTGAATTTTCAACTCGCTGTAAATGGGAAGGAAGCTGTTGATCTTTACCGTTCCGGGGCAAACATTGATATCGTTTCCATGGATATGTAAATGCCTGTGATGAATGGAATTGAGGTGTATATATATATTTTATGTTATCATATTTTTATTACAACAAGAAGCAGAAAATATTGTCCTTGTGAAAGAAAAATTGAACCATGTTTTTCACTACTATATAAACAACAGGCAACAAAGGAGAGCTGCGAGCAATGGGAGTGATAACCATTATCGTGGGTGTGAGCTCTCCCTGTTCAGATGAGGAGAGGGAGGAATTCATTTCAGCTGGTTTAGGCAGATGCTATGTGAAGCCATTGACCCTGGGGAAGATCAAGTCTCTTCTTGAAGAGATGAAGAATTGAATCAAATGAGAATACAGAACCATGAGATCCATGAACTCAATTAATTCATTTCTTGATACGGGTTATCAATGGTTCATTCTCTCTTTTTAATTTTATAAGTGATGAAATCCAACTGAAGCTAATTATGATTAGCTTTAGCGATGAATAAATTTGTGCTTGTTTGTTTGTTTTTCTTTTTAAGGTTATGTAACCATGTTTGCATGCATGCAACTTAATGTTGAATAAAAAAAATAAAAAATTGAATGTTTCCTTCCTCTCCCCTTATTCTTTCGTCTCTTCTTTCGTACCTTAGTTCATTCTTTTAAAATGGCCCAGACATTATTTATAGTGCTAGGGTTTCAGGGGCACTTTTGGAACAATTTTAGATATGAGTTAAATTAAGAAAATTCGGATAAAATTTATTAGAAAACACCTAGAACTTGGATTCCTCCACACGGGCCGTGACACTCATTTTGCCATTCCACAACACGTCTCATTCTGTTTACGCACCTGTAGCCTTACCATCGCAACATACAATTTGTAATGTCGCGGCATGCGTCCTTCTTCATATCTAGTGCAAACCTGAGGCATTACCGCCGTGGTGCAAGCTTTTGAATGTCGTGGCGTGTCTCTTTGCCTCAAATCAGGCATGATAACTCGCGAATGTGGCAAAGTTGTGTATGGATTGTAGCCCTTCAAGTCAGCTTTCTGATGCTTTAAGAATTGTCCAAATCCAAGGTCCATAGCTCTCAAGTTATCGTAAAAAACATGTTTCAAAAGTCGCTATTTGCATTCAAATCTTCTAGTTTTATTCAAATATTATTTTTAGGCACCTATGACCTAAAAATACACCAAATATACATGTGATTACGAAAAAAAAACACATTTAGAACACAATTAAGTAGAATTATACAAATTAAACCTAATTTCCCACAATTGATATCAATAAATCACTAAGTGTATTTTCAAGAACTTATCACTAACTATGTATATAATTAACCAAATGTAACAATGTTGAGAGTATAAAATATAAAACATAGTATAGGTTGGAGAGTACAACATGCCACAATATTCAACTAACAATGAAATAATTTTCACATATTTTGCTGAATTTTTTTTTTTTTTTTTTTACAAGCAATCGTCTTATAAAAATATTAAATAATTTAGCCAATACATATAAATAATTTATTTAATATTGTTCACAAATCCAAAAATTATGAAATTGATCCAATAATTCTAAAATAATATTAGAAAATATTTTGAAATTTGTATGGCTCCAAAAGCAACCATACAGGTGTCACTCTCGCCACCATGAGCATGTGGGATTCGGTTGGAGCATCCATCAGGGTGTGCGGGTTAGTGGACCTGGTTTGGGGTTTGTTTGGCTGGTTTGATAGGGTTTGGCAGGTTTGACCCGATTTAGTGAATTGGGTTATGTGCCTGGTGGTTGGGTCGAGCTTTCGGGTCAGGGAAACCCTAAAAAAAACTAGGCGTCGCGAATGGGACGTTGTGGACCCGTTCTACAAGCACTAGTGATTCCAACTACAGGGGTGTGAGCTCGAGGTTCACGCCGCTAGCGGTCCGGATGTGGAAATGAAGACTTTGATGTGGCAAAGTCATCTTGATTCGTTCTGATTTGTAATTTGAACGGCGACGAAAGAAAAGGGCAGCATGGTAGCAACGATCAGAAATTCGGTGCTTAATAGCCAAAATTTGAAGGTCTTGGATTCGTGTCCCATGAACCGCGAGATCGGCTTTTTATTTATTTATTTAATTATTATTAAAGGTTTAATCAAACACTAATCAAACCCTAGAATTCAGAATTATAAAATATGTTTATAATCTCAGTAGTTAGATTTCCATAATATAAATTTTCAGGTTCTATTATCTAATACGTGTAAACGAGGAAATTCAACACCCAAATAATTACAGGATCACGTATAGATGATAGGACATTCAATCAACAATTTAGGATTTTATGAATGTTTGTTTGAGCCATGATGTGTGCAAGATTTGTTGAATAGCTAACTAATCTTCCTCTTACAAACTGCTCTCAACGACGGCTTTCAAATGAGTAAAGCGTATGTTAATTTATTTTGGAAAAGGGACCTAACCAATATATAATGTTTTATTGGACCTTCCCATTATGGGCCTAGTAAACCCAAAAGCCCACACTTTTATCGTCAACTCAAATTATTCAATAATGATGTGTATTGAACTATAATTTATGATCACATTAAGCCCGGTAAAAGCATCTTATAGGACTATACTTTTACCCGGTTTTGTTAAACTAAAATATAATTAATGTTAGCCCATAATTAGGAAATTTTCTAACAAAAATAATGATGTTAACGATGTGTCTTAGTAGGTAAACTTTCGTGTCATCCTTAATAAACATACAAGTTTAGAAGTTCTTTTAAGTTAAACAAATGGATTTTGTTTCCATTGATAAGATAAATGGTGGGCGTAAATCTGCTAGCGGACTTTCGTATTTCTCAAGTTTAAAACCGACTACATAAATGACTCCTTAATACAAATGTGGTCCGAATCTATACACTAGATTCTGAATAAGTGCAAATATCTTGTAATTTTAAAGATGTATCCAATCAGATGATAATTTTAATAGTATTGTTAAAACTTCTGAGAAAATGCGAGCTTTTCGAGATTTCACAGAATCTAAATCTAATTCTCAAGTACACATAATCCAATTTACTAGACTACATCTAAATGTTTCAAGAATTTGTTTCATGTAACTTTATTAGATGCAAAACAAAGAAGCCACACATTTTTATTGCTTATATAAACCCTAACTAGTTGTAGATGTAAGCATCCTACTCCAAAGCAAACTTTGAGTTCCTCATTCTACAGTATGTAGCAATTAGGAATTTCAAATTATTTCTTTTGCTAGTTAATTAAATTCTTTTTTATTTCTTGTTTATATCATTATAATTTCATATTTCTCTATGATTATCAATTTCTAACATTAATAAAGTAGTTTCTGTTTGCCATTTAGATTTTAGCCTTGTCTGCTAATATATATTCTATATTAAAATTAGATTTATAACATGTTCATGTCAATAGAAATACGTGTATGACTATGCTAGTACTAATAATTCTTACAATATATTGTTTTGTTTTGATTAAATTTTTTATTGTTTATACATTTTGCATGGTAAATCTCATTTATTAATTTTACTTTATATGGATATGAAAGAAATTAACAAAATTTTACCTTTTTTTTTTTAATAGGAAATTCAACTATAACAATAATGTCCGGAGGTTCTTCTAGCTTAGGTAATGTTTCCCGAATTTCTGCCCTCATTGTTGATGATGACCCTGTCATCCGCAAACTTCACTCTGCAATGTTGAAGTCACTTGGAATTCAATTTCAACTCGCCGTGAATGGGAAGGAAGCTGTTGATCTTTATCGTTCTGGGGCAAATATTCATATCGTGTTTATGGATATGGAAATGCCCGTGATGAATGGAATGGAGGTATATATATAAATATATTTAGAGTAAGGCCATATATACAAACTAATTATATACAAATTATATTTCTTACAAACTGATATGACAACCTTACATGTTTGATATATAATCTTCCATAATCTGTTTAAATTAAAATTATACAATTACATTAAAACATATCAGTTTGAGTTGGTAATTTTGCATGAAGAATTTGTATAGTATTATTATATTTGACTTGCTTAGTTAGAAAAAAATAATTGTTATATGTAGAGAGGCATTCCAATAATGAAAAATTACTTCTAAGGATGCTTCATAAATTTTACCTAGCATATATAAAATAAGCATCCCAAAATGAAGTTTTAATATATATTATCATGCAAAATAATATAAAAACAATTTTTATTTTTTTAATTATTTGTAAATCGGCTCTCAGAATAATCTCCAAAAATTATAATTTTAATGTTAATTATGCAACCTCTTGTTTCAATTAATAAAACAATAAATTATACTAGAATTGTAAATCAAATAGGCCAAAAATATTAAATATTGTACCGTATTAATGCAATAAAAAGTACAAGAAGCAGAAAGTATTGTCCTAGTAAAAAAAAAAAAAAAAATGAACCATCTCTTTTTTTTATTAACAGGCTACGAAGGAGCTGCGAGCGATGGGTGTGAGCAGTATAATCGTGGGTGTGAGCTCTCGCTGTTCGGATGAGGAGAGGGAGGAGTTTATTTCGGCCGGTTTAGACCATTGCTATGCCAAGCCATTGACCGTGGCTAAGATAAAGTCTCTTCTTGAAGGGATAAAGTATTGAATCAAATGAGAACCCAGAAGAACCATGAGATCGAAGAACTCAATCAACTCATTTTTTCTCTTTAATTTTATGGAGTGATGAAGTCCAGCTGAAGCTAATTGTGTGTAGCTTTAGCCATGAATAAAGTTGTTTTGTTTTGTAAGGTTATGTAAGCATGTTTGCATGCATGCAAGTTATGTTGAGTCTGTATCTGAGGAAGAGTCTATGTGACTGAACTTCTTCCCTTTTATCTTAATGAAGAATAAAGGCTTATTATGGCTATTTAAAAGTTTTGTGTGAAATGGTTTTATATAATATTGAGCTTGATGCTTTGGAGTGAGCTGGCCTCGAGTCCTCGACCACTCTTTGTCCCTTCCTGGGGTTTGATTGCTGGTTGCTTGTAGGCCTTGTTTAGGCTGTTTGAATTGTTTTTTTATTTTAGCCCTGGACTCTGGGTATGTCCAGTTGTGAGATTTTTTGTTGTTGCACTCCTTTTAGGGAGTAGTTTGTTTCAATTCCTCTTTCTAGTTCTGTCCAGTAACAGGTTGTTTGTAGCCTCTTGAGACGCCCTTCTTTTTTTGGTTTATAAAAGCTTAATTACCAATATATATATATTGAGCTTGATTATGCACAATCGATGGCGTTTATATTTCTTCGGGTTTATGTATTCAGACGAAAAACTGCACAAACATGTTTTTTAAGTAGATTTATTTTTTCTGCCTCAGAAGTGCTTACATTTTTATTCAAGAATCAAGTCATGTAATCTTAAAAGGAAAAACAATAAGTAAAGCATGATTTTGTCATTAATTAAAAACGTGTATTTCATCTACTCACATGGCATTGCCTAATATAAAACGAATTAAGTTATTGAAAAATGTTACATACTTTTTGGATTATAATTAAAAACCCACTTTAAAAATATCACAAAATTCTCCTAACAATATAAAAACCCGGTCATAAGTAAAAGTTTAGAAACTATTAATAGATATTAAATGGTCCGTTTGTTTTGTTATTTTGGATATGATTTTGGAAATAACATTGAGTAGTTGAATAGAGGAGTATTATAAGGTAAAATCTAAAAATTAACAAAAAAACTCCCATAGGTTTACTAATTTAACTAAACACCCTAATATATAAAATTTTTGTAAAATGACAAAAAAACCCTCACCCACCCACAGTGTCAGATTCCGACCACCACCGCCAGAATCTGGTCGAAAAATGGCGTTACAAAGCAGATCGGTCGGATCTAGTGGGTAGGGCGTCGATATGGCCTTTTTCGGCCAGATCCAGCATAGATCTGACCGGAAAAGGCCAGATCTACAGCCAAATTTGGCCGTTGATGGTCGCAAAAGTCCAGATCTGGCCGTCAGCGACGGCCAAAGATATGGCTATCGTTGTCAATCAACGACGGCCAGATCGATGAATTATCTACCAGTTATGGTCGTTTGTAGGTCGTTGTTATAGATTTCGGCCACCACCGACGATGGTTGCTAGAATCTGGCAAGTATGGGTGGGTGAGGGTGTTTTTATTAATTTTTTAACTTTTTTTTTTAGGGTATTATGAAATTAATAAACTTAAAGGGTCTAAAAGTAATTAAAAAAATATACTAATATTTCTTAAATAACAAAACAAACAAGTATTTTGGGAATAGGGATAGAAATTATAAGCCAAACGGAGCCAAAATTTTCTATCATCTTTAATCAAGCAGAAAACTACACGCTAACTCAAGAGGTTGGCATAGCGGTAAAAAATGTTTGTTCTCTTCATTGACTTTTTGGATTTAAACCACTTTAAAACCACTTATCACATTTGTAGTTTACTCTGAAACATTAGACTTGTAGTGTATTCAATAGGTCTATAATTAGCATAATTATTCTAAACATAATTGTAAGTTAAAAATTGTTTAATTTTTTATAATTTTTAATATACTTACATAAGACAAGATTAAGAACATTTCAGACTTTTACAAAAATAGTAAGTGATAAACAAATATTACAATAAGAACGCAAATGTTACTTTCAAATTCTTTTGGACCTAATCAAACTAACCTTAAGTACCGAATTATTTGGACTCCGCACATTACTAAAAGTTACCGTTAACACGTGCAACTCGCGTGCTCTGAAACTCTTATCTTCCTCGGCAAATTTTCAATCCAAAACCGTGTAATAAACCCCCACTCCCTTATCTACACTAAAAAAAGAAAACCCCAAAAAAAAAAAAAAAAAAATGTCGCTTTTCCTCCATTCTCCACTCCCTTTCAAGCCATCGGCACTCTTGAAATCTCATAATAAAAACGGAAGCGTTTTGGTTCGGGCCGCAACGTCCGCTCCACCGCAGAAGAAAACTCGCAGAAGAAGGCAGCAAAAAAGAGGTGNTACCGAATTATTTGGACTCCGCACATTACTAAAAGTTACCGTTAACACGTGCAACTCGCGTGCTCTGAAACTCTTATCTTCCTCGGCAAATTTTCAATCCAAAACCGTGTAATAAACCCCCACTCCCTTATCTACACTAAAAAAAGAAAACCCCAAAAAAAAAAAAAAAAAAATGTCGCTTTTCCTCCATTCTCCACTCCCTTTCAAGCCATCGGCACTCTTGAAATCTCATAATAAAAACGGAAGCGTTTTGGTTCGTGCCGCAACGTCCGCTCCACCGCAGAAGAAAACTCGCAGAAGAAGGCAGCAAAAAAGAGGTGATGATTCTTCATCTTCTTCAAATTACGTCGCCGTTTCGTCGGCAGAGCAGGGGCTTAGATTTATATTCATGGAGGAGTTGATGCAGCACGCTAGGAATCGTGATATGGAGAAGGTTAATAATGTCATTTATGACATGATTGCCGCCGGGCTTAGTCCCGGCCCAAGGTCCTTCCACGGGCTCGTCGTGGCCCATGTACTTAATGGCGATGATCAAGGCGCGGTATGAACATAAATCTTATAAGTTTTTTTTTTGGAAGAAGTCAAAAAGAGATTAGTATGACACTTTTTAGCTAAGATTTTAAGAATTTAGAAAGTTAAAATTTTGCTTTTAAAGTGATAAATTCGATTAACATTGTGGTTTGTATAATTACTTACCAACACTTGCGGTAATGGCGGAACCAGAATTTTGATTTAAGAGCCGAAACATAATATATTCTTGTACTATAAAAATAAATTAATACTTAAAACTGAATTATCATGAAAAGTTAACATGTTTCTATCATCGGAATATGCGTAATACTAGACATACTGATATTTAATACTTGACTGAAAAGCACAAAAATAACAGAAGAGATAACATTTGTATACCAAAAAAAAGAAAAAAAAAAAAAATAATAATAAACAAAAGGTTGATCTAATATTTCACAAGTGGAAGGATTGAGAGTAAGGAGGAAAAATGTGGCAAGCTTTCATGTTTCATGATTTTTGATTAAATTATACAATCTACATTACTTAGTCAACTTTTATGATGTTCTTGTCATTTATTAGTGTATATTTGTGTGTATATATGCCGGTTGCTGCTAATTTTATGCTATTTGGTATTGCATTTAGCTCTCCTTAATTTATTGGTGTATATATGCCGGTTGCTGCTAATTTTATGCTATTTGGTATTTCATTTAGCTCTCCTTAATTTATTCAAGGGTTGAATATCTATTCCATAATTGTTTGCGCGGAGAAGTTAGTTGTTTTGGATTAAGCTTAGCATTGGTGTGAGCAACCTTAGTTTCACTGTTCAGTGAAAACCACAGTAATCTATGAAGGATTATTTTTGCTAAGTTGAAATGGGGTGGATTCTATTGGTAAATTACTCCTTCTTATGGAATCAGGTGTAGTCTATGTGGAATCTGTGTGTATATGGGGATTATGAATCCATGAACATGTTTGTATAAATGTATATGTATGTGTTGCAATTTTGATTCTTTGTTTTACATGAGTTGTAGTGACATTACACTGAAGAATTCTTGTTGTTCAAGTGCAGATGCAATCACTCAAAAGGGAGTTGAGTGCAGGTCTCGTCCCTCTCCGGGAAACACTTGTCGCACTTATTCGTTTGTTTGGGTCCAATGGACATGCTACCAAAGGCTTAGAAATCCTTGCAGCAATGGAAAAGTTAAACTATGATATTCGCCAAGCATGGCTGATTCTTGTTGGTACGATATTTTGCTAACTTCATTATTTAAGTCTCATGAATCAATTTCCTTTATACATTTTACAGGATCATATATCTAAGTTGGTTAACTTCATTATTAGAGGAGCTTGTTAGGAACAAGTTTTTGGAAGATGCCAACAAAGTGTTCTTGAGGGGTGCCAAAGGTGGGCTGAGAGCTACCAATGAACTCTATGATCTTATGATTGAGGAAGACTGTAAAGCTGGGGACCATTCCAATGCCCTAGAAATTGCCTATGAAATGGAGGCTGCTGGGCGGATGGCAACCACTTGTCATTTCAACCATCTTCTAAGTGTGCAAGTAAGTTTTCTGAATTTTGTTATCTTTTTAATCAAATTTGGAATTTGTATGCAGAAAGCTTTTTTACTTTATAATTACAGGCTTGGTAACCTTTGGCAATTGGATATTGGTTTAATTGCTATGAATTAATAAGCTACCAGGAAAAAAGTTGTTGTTTGGTTGATGCATGACTGATTGAGCTCAGTAAGATACAACTCTTTTATACTGATGCTTGTTTAAATTTTCTTACTTAATTTAATTGTATGCAATTTTCTTATTTGATTATATGTTAAATATATATTATCGAGGTAATGCTTCTTATATCTTTCCTTGTTAAGTGCATAAATCTTAACTCTTTTTATCAATAATTCTCTTATATCATTGAGGTGCACCCAATATATTTTTGTTATCTTGTTTCTTATATTTTAGTTTATAAAAATTAAAAATTCTAGCCTGCTCTGAGATAATGTTCTGGCTATGCCCATGTATAAAGCATCTGTCAAAATCACTCTAGGAGACATTTGCTATAGTCCATAATCTAGATGTAATCAAGTAATTTTTGTGCCTACTGTTTCTATTTGCTAGCTAAAGATTTTGAAGTTGTTTGAATTGACCTAGCCGTTTTGTTCACAGTTTCTGCAGTACACTGACATCGTGTTTTTCTTATTTTCAGGCTACTTGTGGAATACCTGAAGTAGCTTTTGCAACATTTGAGAACATGGAATACGGAGAAGGTTCACATTCTCTCAATATATTTGTGTGTGCTATTTCATGAATGTTAGGGCATCTTAAACCTTATTGTCATATCAAGAGAAGAATCAGTTTTATGGAAGGCATGCTTGAGATAACAATTGTGCCCTTAATCTTTTTCATAATGCTGTTCTTATGATGATTGGTCTTATTCATGGATGAAAAATTAGCTTTTTTTCACTTTTGCTCAACCCATTGATGAATTAAATTTAAATTTTGGCATTGATTAGATATTTGTTAACATCGAACTACTGCCTTGAATATCAAAGAACTTGTTGAAAGTAAATGGGGTTGATGAGAAAGAAAGTTAATACTTAAACCAGTAAATTCTGTTATTACACTAATATAATTGATTGTTGGGTTTAATGTTTGTTCAAGTTGTATGAAATTCTTAAGATTTTTGTTCTCTATGTCCAAAATTTCTATAGTGCTAAGAATTGTCTTCCCGTTCCAGATTATATGAAACCTGATACTGAGACTTATAATTGGGTGATTCAAGCATATACACGAGCTGAATCTTATGACAGGTGAATTCCTTAAGACATTAATGACAGCAACAGAGTTTTTTTTTAATTCAAAATCTTTTGTTTTTAATCAAATCACAATAAAGTTGGGTTCTTTGGAGGAGGCAGTCTTCATTTAAGTTGTTTGACAGTCTACTTTTATTTAGTTAAAGTATGACAAGCGTATGAATGTAGAATTTTAGATAGTTTGCAATCTTATAATGTGTTTCTCTATCTTCCTTCCGTGTTTGAATGTTAGTATATTTAATAATACCTACTACTTCCAGTCTATTATAACTTAATAGATTTGCTAGACTGCCTTTTGTGCAGAGGTTAGTTAGAGCCTTTCACATGGCATTAGACATTCAAACACATATATATGTATGTATGTATATTACACACACACACACACACTCATACACACTCACACACACTCACACACATATATATGTATGTATGTATGTATGTATGTATGTATGTATGTATGTATATTACTGTGTTTTAACTCAAACCATCTATAAGCAATTCTTTGGTTTGTTGCAAGAAATATAAATAATTTATTTATGGAAAAGGCAAGTGAAAGAAATTTGATGTTTGGGTCAATCTAATTTTATTCTAGCGTTGTGATTTTCACATAACTCATTTCATAGAATGACATTTGTGAGTGATGTTAACAAATCTAGGGTTTCTTGATGTTAGATGTGAATCCCTTGCTTATTAGATTGACAATCTCTTGATATAGGTGCCCATGTGTGTGGGCTTTTTATTGTTAACTGCTTGCCCTATGTTATATCAGATAGAGCTTCTCCTTGTAGGTTTTTTTTTTTTTTTGGTGGATGCAATGTAATTACTCCTCTTTTTTTTTTTCTCTCTCTTCTCTTTCAATTGTGTATAAATTTGAAATATTCTTAACATTTTTTCTTCCAAAAACAAGGTCTCTCATGGTACCTAATTATTAAGGCTATTGATATGTAATGTAGGGTGCAAGATGTTGCTGAATTACTTGGCATGATGGTTGAAGATCACAAACGTTTGCAACCTAATGTGAAAACCTATGCGTAAGCAAATTTTTTCTTTTTTGGTCATCCTTAATTACTAGAATAATATGTTCTTAATAAGTGAATATCTTGTCCCATATTTTCCTGTAAAATAATTTCTGTCAATCCATTTTATTCCAATGGTTTACGAGTGGATGAGGTGGCAAAGGAAATAACTTCATCCAATTTCCTTTTCACATCCATTGGATTGCAATATATCTATGATCAAGAATTTGTGTCCCAATTTAAGTCACAATTTTAAGTTACTATAACCTGACCCTAGTGTTAACTTTTGTTATCTCTAATATGCTATCAATACAAGGATTTGTAGTAGTCATTCCTATGATATTTAGGTTTTAAATGGCAAACCAACACTAGTTATTGCTGTAATGCAGGAAAATTGATGGACACGATTTCATTAATCTTAAGGTGCTTTCAAGGATTCTTTAGCATCTTTGATGGCTTCTAAATTGTTTCTTCTTTTACTTTTTACAACCTATTGGTGATTCTAGCAAGGTGAGACTAGGCATGTCATCATTTATTGCATATATTCTGTTTAGGGTTTTTGTAATTTGGTGTTTTGATCGTCACAACAAATACCCAAATCAAAGGATGATTTTGACGTGCATAGTCACTGAAAGGAGAGTAGTCGAAATACTCAAGACTCCTAATGATTTTTGGTTCATTTTTGAGCTTCTGTTTGAACACTAGTGACAAGGTATGTGTGGATGTATGTAATTGGAGGGAAAGTAAAAGTTTTCTAGAACTATGTTGTTTCTTTTGGGTGGAATGATGAGGGATAAATAGGAAAATTATTGAAGTCAATAAGAGGAATGACACTTCTTCATAAACCCAAATTTAGAGGGGGTATTGGCTTGTTATGTAAATTTTGGAAAGAGTTTGTTCGTAAAGAGCAGATTTATAGGCAACATTGTTTTTGTTGGATTGCAACTTAGGAGTTGATAGTATTCTTCTCATAAATTTGCAAATATATTTGTCCTTGGTTCATGCTAGTTTTTATGGAAAACTTTTCAACTCATTTGCAAATTTTCCTTCTCCTTTTGGATTTTTTATTTTTTTTATTTTTAAATTATGAGAAACAAAAGTTTTATATTATTGAGGAATAGAGGTACAAGGCTGACCAGGTTTTCACATTAAATCAACTCTTGAGTTGACAGTAGCCATACAAAGATGTGTGATTTTGTCTCTGGGATTTGTGACTAACTAAAGAATAAAGGCGAAAGAGTTAACCATCCTATAATTTTGTTTGTGTCATACTGTTTATTTTTGTTGTGTTGTACCTTTATTCTTTTTGGCTTTGATAGATGACATTATATCTTCATTAACAGGTTGTTAGTGGAGTGTTTTATCAAGTACTGTGTAGTAAAGGAAGCTATTCGACACTTTCGTGCACTTAAAAATTATGGAGGGGGAACAACATATTTACATCACAAGGGAAATTTTGGGGATCCACTGTCTTTATATCTACGGGCTTTATGCCGAGAAGGTAGAGTTTCTTGGTGAAGCAATCTCTGATTTCATGCATTTTATTTCTCATTCGTAGAACGTAAAATTGTTGGAGATTTGAAATATGCAGGTAGAAGTTATGATTTATGTGGCCTCACAAATTTGAAATTGTAGGTATGTAATTTCATAGGAAGGTTATAGGGAGTTGAGGCCCCATGTGCAATAAGTTTTTTGCTTTATTTTCATTGTCTCAGCCTATCTCCCAATCTCTTCTTCATTTTCTTTTTTTCAAAAACTTTTGCGTCCAACAAAGCTTGATTCTTAGCTTTCAGTCAAAATTATGAATCTCACAAATTTGTTTATTTTCTTTTTATTTTATTTTTTTGTGTTCTAGAGTTATACATAAGACAAGTTGCCAACAATTCACAAAACAACCAGAGTGAACCAAGTGGAAATTATTTTGAGTTTGATTTAAATCAAAATAGGCTCTTATAAAGCTAATAGCTTGTTTATAGTTAGCCATNGCCCCATGTGCAATAAGTTTTTTGCTTTATTTTCATTGTCTCAGCCTATCTCCCAATCTCTTCTTCATTTTCTTTTTTTCAAAAACTTTTGCGTCCAACAAAGCTTGATTCTTAGCTTTCAGTCAAAATTATGAATCTCACAAATTTGTTTATTTTCTTTTTATTTTATTTTTTTGTGTTCTAGAGTTATACATAAGACAAGTTGCCAACAATTCACAAAACAACCAGAGTGAGCCAAGTGGAAATTATTTTGAGTTTGATTTAAATCAAAATAGGCTCTTATAAAGCTAATAGCTTGTTTATAGTTAGCCATAGTTCTCCATTTTCATAGGATTTCCTCCTTAAGGTCAATCTATATCTCTACGACTTTAGGTCAAAGCAATTCTCTGCATTTTGTGTGATATATGTGGCGGTGGTACTAGGTTTGTCACATCGCATTCATGTTATCATTAAGGTCTTTTTTTCACTAATACTTTGAGATAATGTTTGGGTTACAGTTTGTAGAATTTCAATCTGTTGGATGATTTGCTAGGTTTTAACAATTTTTATATTTATTTCTTTATACATATCCTGAATGTCCCTTTGCTGAATCAGGAAGGATTGTTGAGTTACTAGAAGCTTTAGAAGCTATGGCGAAAGATAATCAATCCATTCCACCAAGAGCCATGATCTTGAGCAGAAAATATCGGACATTAGTTAGCTCATGGATTGAACCTTTACAAGAAGAAGCTGAACTGGGATATGAGATTGACTACATTGCTAGGTTTGGTTCCTAGTCAACATACTACTGATAAATTGCATCAAGAGACTTGTGGTCATAAGTTCTATTTCTCACTCTATTCCCCAAACACCGGTCATTAATCATGTTTTGTATATTATATTACCACGTGCTTGCTACATGGAATTGAAGCAAAGAATGTTGACATTACCAAATAGTGTTATAGAGCACTCAGGACCTATTGGGCTTGCTTCACATGAGATTGGGAGATGGAAATGGGTTCATTAACCAGGTGCATCGTGTAATTTAAATTGGTGTCAGTACAGTAATGAGTGAATTGTAGCTTCAGGCACAGGGCTTTACCTGGAATCTGATTCCCCCATCTGACCTTATATTTGAAACTGAAAAAAGATCCTTTGGGTTGAAACTCATTTATTGATCTTTATTAATTGTTTTCCTTTTTCCTGTGTATATTAGCAATGGCCTAATGCTTGTCTTTCTACATAATTTAGGTACATTGCAGAAGGTGGGCTTACTGGTGAACGAAAGCGATGGGTGCCTCGAAGAGGAAAAACTCCTTTAGATCCTGACACTGTTGGATTTATATATTCAAGTCCTATTGAAACCTCCTTCAAGCAAAGATGTCAAGAGGATTGGAGGATGTACCATCGAAAGCTTTTAAAAAAATTGCAGTATGAAGGACGTGCAGTTCTGGGGGATGTGTCCGAATCTGATTATGTAAGAGTTGAAGAGAGACTAAGGAAAATAATAAAGGGTCCAGAGCAGAATGTTATAAAGCCCAAGGCTGCTAGTAAAATGGTAGTGTCTGAGTTGAAGGAAGAGCTAGAAGCACAAGGTCTGCCAACTGATGGAACTAGAAATGTTCTTTACCAGCGTGTCCAAAAAGCAAGAAGAATTAATCGCTCTCGAGGTCGACCTCTTTGGGTTCCACCTGTGGAGGAGGAGGAAGAGGAGGTCAGCTGCTTGAATAATTTGTCTCTGATTTGTATTTCTTCAATATGATATTCAAAGCTTTTCTCTTATATTATTTTTCTACACTAAGCTTTCTCTAGCAATTGGAGGTTGTAGTAAATTGATATAAAATATAAATGCGTCTCTTTTGGCAGGTTGATGAAGAGCTAGATGAGCTGATTTCACGGATCAAACTGGAAGAAGGAAACACTGAGTTCTGGAAACGTCGATTTCTTGGGGAAGGCTTGAATGATGATCACGATAAGACTATGGACATGAATGAATCAGAACTTCCAGATGAGTTGGATGACGATGTTATAGATGTAGAAGATGCTGCAAAGGAGGTTGAAGATGATGAGGCTGAAGAAGATGAGGAAGTAGAACAACCTGAGACTGAGTCCCAAGAAGTAGATAGGGTTAAGGAGAAGGAAGTTGAAGCCAAGAATCCTCTTCAAATGATCGGAGTCCAGCTGTTGAAAGATTCTGATGAAGCAACTACCACATCAAAAAGATCTAGCAGAAAAATGTCCAAAATGGTGGAGGTATAGAAAGTCAATGAAGTGTGTGCTTCTATTTTCTTGCTATTTAAATTTTTTTTTGGTTGTCGAGGTGAGTTTTTGGGATTAATAACGTGTCAGATATTGGTTTAGTGTTGAAAGGTGCTATTTTGAAGCTAATTGGTGAAATAATTTTCTAGAAAATGGTTTCCCCTCCTACATGTTGGTTTGTCATAGAACTTTACTGAGTTCAACTCAGGGATTTCTAATCATTTTTACATGTTGATGCAGGATGATGATGATGATGACTGGTTTCCAGAGGATGTGTTTGAAGCATTCAAGGAGATGAAGAAAAGGAAGGTGTTTGATGAATCTGACATGTATACAATAGCTGATGCTTGGGGTTGGACATGGGAGAGAGAACTGAAGAAGAAACCTCCTCAAAAATGGTCACAGGAATGGGAAGTTGAGTTGGCAATTCAAGTTATGCAGAAGGCATGTTCCCTTATCTCGTACTTACTTCTGTGCCAACAATCCGTCATATGATGTATTTTGTTTCAGATCTATATAACACTGTTTTACAGTTACTGCTTTCGATATCTGGTGGGCTCTCGTATAAGCATTAGTTCCTAATTTTACGCCAGCAGATTTAAGCTGAACAAAATACTGGAATATGTTTCAGGTAATAGAATTGGGTGGAAAACCTACAATTGGGGACTGTGCGATGATAATAAGAACAGCTATAAAGGTTCCTCTGCCTTCAGCTTTCTTGAAGATCTTGCAGACAACACAGAGTCTTGGTTATGTATTTGGCAGGTAAGAATTTGTTGGCAGTCTTGTCTTAAGAGACTTAAATTAGGATCTTTTGACGTTTCATTTCGATTATAACAACGTTTATGCTTAGCGTAAATTGTTTTTCTTTCATTGCAGTCCCCTTTATGATGAAATAATCTCGTTATGCCTTGACCTGGGAGAACTGGATGCAGCCATTGCAATAGTTGCAGACATGGAAACTAGTGGAATCACAGTCCCTGACCAAACATTGGACAGGGTAATATCCGCTAGACAGATGGGTGAAAACTGAAATTCAGGTTGATAATGCATCACCATAGCTGCAAATATATACAGTCCTTCATTCTTTTTGTATAGTCTGATTTCAAAAATCGAAAGTACCAGTGTCTAGCAGTTGTAGTAGTTCTGTAGCAAGTGTAACATTTTCACATTTTGGCAATGGCAAGTATCAAATGTAAAAGTCTTTTTTTTTTTTTTTTTTTTTGGCTTCTTACTTTGTAGGTATGATCCAGTCCAAAAAATTTTGGACCTACAAATTGTGTTGTATTTGCTCACACCTAATTTGTGTTGGACCAAGATGCCAATAAGTAGTCCAGTTAATTCACTTCAACCCTACCCAACCCAAAGTGCCAAGATTCAGTTAACCCAACCCAACCCAAAGTGCCAAGATTCAGTTAACCCAACCCAACCCAATGCCTTCAATATCTCAAATCGGGCGAGTGGATCTATTTGCTGCATTTTGAATTTTTGATTGTGCTTATTAAGATCGTGGGCTCAACTACTAAAAAAAGTCAACGGGATTCGACTTTCATGTTAGATTTTTAATGTTGATATGGTTATGGTGGTAAGCATTGTTTTAAATTTAATAACCAACACGGGATGAAACTTGACAAAGTGGTCAGGCTTTGGGTTGACCGGTTTAATCGGGTTGATTGGGTCAAATAAATGTTCAAAAGTTTGAAATACAACAAAAATTTTCTTGAAAATACTATAAGTCCTTATAGATTTGAAATCTTACAAAAACACCATAAATTCTATTGTCAGCATCGACAAATTAGGGCAAATAAGGCCTATTTTCAACGACAACAACACTCTCTCATCACTACGAAAACACTCCCCTCAACTTCCTAACTAAAACTCATCTCATCCCTGCTTTGATGGTCTCGTCAATCATTGGCAATAGCCCGTTGTTGTCACTAACTTAGTTTTGCGATTTCTAGTCGATTTAGTCATAAAAATCACATTTGTTGCCACTATTACACCCATTGGCCCTTTCTCCTCAAAATCTCCAACATCCTAGCTTTCAATTATTTACCGATCGTTGTTTTAATTTTTAAGGTTTTCGGTGAATAGAAAAATTGGCAACCTAATCTAGTGAAGCCTCTAGGTGCAGTTCAATCGACCAGACTAGACTAAGTTTTAAAACACTGGTTGTAAGTAGAACATTATGAAACAGAAAGAGATATATTCATGATAATATGTATTGTAAATTAACCTTTTATAATAATATATATTAATTATTTTATTATATGCTTTAGAAAAACCAAACTTTTTCTCTTTCACAGTTTATATGTTTCAATCATACATAATCATACTGCCAGGGGCCCAGGAAGAACTCAGTTTTGATTATTTTAGTGGTAATTAAATATTTCTTCATTGAAAAGACAAACAATTTTCATACTTGACCCTGAAGCAATTTAACCAAAAATGATGTTTCCTTGTTTATAAATTACAATATCAAAAGGTATACCACATGGGACCCATGATATTGCCGAATCCCACCATCATACCTAATCATAACGAACCTCGCTTTAAATAAACATTTACTTCATTAACGAATAATGGTAGTGATGTAAATTAAGGTAAATTGTGTGTCCAAGATGGTAAAAGCAGACTTCGGTCATTTAACCAGGAAGGAAACGAGTCATTTACTCATCACGACTCAGTTTCGGACACAGCCAACTCGCTCTCTTTGACTGTTGTACAAGGTAAAAAGACAGTTTGTCTTTCAAAATTCAACTTCGATCTCTCTCACATTCGTTAAATTCACTCGTGAAATGCTTTGATTTTCAGAGATTTGAGCTCAAACTAAGCGTAGTTGACATCTGCCACGCGCGTGATGGCAGCTGTTCCCGTCGAAGAAGCAATTGCGGCTCTATCTACATTCTCACTAGAGGTAGTTTTCAATTATTAACTCACTCAACTTATTTTAGTTCCTTCAATTAACCTTGAAAATAGCTTCATTTTGTTTTGTAATTTCTGAAACTTTGAATTTACTGTAGGATGAGCAACCGGAGGTACAAGGACCAGCAGTTTTAGTTTCAATCGAAAGAGGAGCAACCAATAGTCCAGTTGGTAATTCTTTTAAGAAAAATTCACATTACATTTGAATTTTGTTCACTTTAAGTTAGTTTAAACTACGCTTTTGTTTGAAACATTTTGATTCATTAATATTTTTCCTATTACGATCATTCGGACTCGTAGTATGTTCTGTTTTGGATAAATTAAGTGATATTTTTGGTAATTAAATAAATGCATTTGTCTTGTAGAGTATAGTGATGTTAATGCATATCGTCTGTCGTTATCAGAAGACACAAAGGCTCTCAATCAGTTGGTATACAGCTCTTGTTTCTCTTCTTCTTCTTCTTCATTTTTTGTTTTAACTTTGTGGTTTGAAAGCATGAATGCCATACGGTTCTTGTTTTGATATTGGTTTTAAAATTACATCAACTTTTTTGATTATCTTATTTTGTTTGGAGATTTGCAGAACACTCTTGTTCAGGAAGGGAAAGAGATGGCATCGGTGCTTTATACTTACCGTAGTTGTGTCAAAGCGCTTCCTCAGGTTTACTTTGGCTTTAGATTGAAACATAAATAATTTTGTTGAACATCTAGGATACTTTTCTATTATTCTAGTCATTGTAGATACCAGTTATATTCAAGTGGATAAATGTATATGTGATAAATAAAACTACATTTATTGGGAAACAACGAAAAGATGAATGTAATTTCATTAATAGCAACAATATGGTAAAAGTTATTAGATTCATGAACTGTTTGTGCCAATGGGATATTTTTCTGATAGCTGATATTGAAGCTTTCAAGAAATAAATACATAATTGATTTCTGCTGTTTCTTACCGAGCCCAAATGGAATTCAGTAAATTGGCATCCTAATTGATGTCAGTTGATAATACATGAAAAATTTCTTGTAGTGGTAAGATAAGTTCATTGGAAATTTTAGACTTTCCTTTCTCATTAGCAACTTATATGTGACTTTAAATACTGTGGCAGCTTCCTAATTCTATGAAGCACAGTCAAGCTGACTTGTATCTTGAAACCTACCAAGTTCTGGACTTGGAGATGAGTCGCCTACGAGAAATTCAAAGATGGCAAGCATCAGCTTCCTCTAAAGTATGAGAGCTGAAATCATCATCATCATCATCATCATCTTTTTGTTTTTAATTACTCATTCTATAGTTGAACTTGTGATAGATTCTTCTGCAATCTCAACTGTTAAACTATAATGCAGCTAGCAGCTGATATGCAACGTTTTTCTAGGCCAGAGCGGCGCATTAATGGACCCACAACTACTCATCTATGGTGTGTTATATCATATTAAGTGTATTATTTTCTCTATTCATGCTATTGAATTCTCAATTGCTGAGTCATTTTAATGTGAGCTTCATGCCACCATATACTGTTACCATTCATTTTAAAAAAATATAATTGTTTATGATGACAGTGCTTATGCTACAGTAATTGATTTCTTCTTTAACTCCAGGTCCATGTTAAAGTTACTTGACATCTTAGTGCAACTTAATCATCTAAAAAATGCTAAAGCAAGCATACCCAATGATTTCTCTTGGTATAAGAGGTATGTGAATTTACTAGTTTTGGGCTATTGCAACTGCCATAGCCGTATAACATTTCTACTCTTTCATCTAATGTGAATTTTGCTCTATTGTTCAAATCGATATTGCTAGAGCTTAAATCATGTTGTTGGACACTTATCTTAAAGCTTAAATTATGTTGTTCGACACTTAGTTTTAGCTTTTAAGATTAATGGTGTTTTAGCTTTTAAGATTAATGGTTTTTATTAGAACCAATTTTACCAAATGGGTCTTGTGAACAAATCTAATTTCTTTGCGTTTGTGTCTGTGTGAAATTGTGTTCCTGCTTGATCCACATGACAAGCCTATTGATTAATCTAGTTTTGCATGTGAAGGGACTCATTAGAACTATAATAATATTGTTGAGACCTTACCTAACAGCGTAAGCTCTTCACTTAATGGTTTAAGTTTTTCCTTTTCTTTTTCTTTTGTATGTGCAAAGCATTCCACAGGAAGTTTTTTCCTTTCCTACCTCTGCTTTGTAATAACTGTTAGCTTTAAATTTCTGCATTTAGTAGCAGCTTTGCGTAAGCTTTTCACTCAATGGTTTAAGTGTTTCCTTTTCTTTTTCTTTTATATGTGCAAACCATTCCACAGCAAGTTTTGCTCTTTCCTACTTCTGCTTAGTAATAAATGTTAGCTTTCAACTTCTGCTTTTAGTAGCAGCAATGCAAATTGACTATTTAATTTAGTCACTTATGATTTGGGAGTATTACAAATATAGGGTAGATGTTTGACACATTTATTTTTATCTGTTTGGAATTTGTCAGGACATTCACGCAAGTCAGTATCCAGTGGCAAGACATTGATTCAATGAGGGAGGAGTTAGATGATTTACAGGTGTGTCTCTGGTCCCCTAGCTGGTTAGCAATATACTTTGTTCAGTAAAACAATACTCTGCTCTCTTTTCATTTTTTGTCTTGTTTTAAATTGCTGATTTGATATTTTCCATTTTTTTTTTTTTCTTTTGGCTTTTTGACCAAGAATTTTTTTAACTTATGCAGATTTTCTTAAGCACAAGATGGGCTATCTTACTGAACCTCCATGTTGAGATGTTCCGGGTGAACAAGTATCCTCTCTTTATACTCTTGAATATTAACCTCTTTATTGCAAGCATTTCAATATGATGCCAGAGCACATGATGATTTACTTTATTAAATGCACCTTGTTTGACATATTTTATGTGCTGCTAAATTATCTCAGAATTTGGGACCAATTTTTTCCTTTTTCTTATTACCTGCATATAGATATATTGTATTACATACTTTCTTACTCCCTTCTGATTTCCTTCACTGAAATTAGTGTTGAAGATATACTTCAAGTTCTCATAGTCTTTGCTGTTGAGTCACTAGAGTTGGATTTTGCACTTCTATATCCAGAGCGGCACATTCTTCTTCGTGTTTTGCCTGTTCTTGTTGTCTTAGTGACATCTTCAGAGAAAGATAGCGAATCGTTGTATAAGAGGGTGAAAATCAACAGACTGATCAATATATTTAAGGTATTAGGGTTGATATGATGATCTAAATTATCGAAGGATTCAAAGTTATATATATATATATATATTTTATAATTAATCAATTGAA